TTTATGCTATATTTATGTTTTGAAAATGTGAGTGGAAAAAAAAAACAACAAAGAGATTTAAAAATCTGGGCTCCTCACTTCAGCTCCTCACATGGAAGACAGTACTGTTAGGAGACCTGCCTGGACTGTAGTTTTTCAGAGGGAAGGTGGTCTTTCAACAGAAGCCTTCACTTCCGCACATCACTGGCAAACAGCCTGAAAACAATCCACATTTGTAATAGTATTCATCTAAATATTCTAGTTCTTTTGCTCAGGGTATTATGACTCAGGCCTTTAGCTCTGCAGCACAGCTAGTTAAAAACTTTCTGATTAAGGTTTCATCAGCAAATGCAGAGCCAATGTATTTCATTCAAACGTTTCAGAATTGAATGAGATGATAACCCTCATACATTGCCTGGGTTTCCAGCAGTACCTGACTTCCTGGCAGACTGAAGATCTGGTGTTTTCTGGATTTGTGCCTCTCTTGTGAACACTCAGACAAGACCTGAGTGGCACAAAACTTCCATGACAATGGCCCTGGCTCTGGGTTCACAGCCTTAACCGAGTTTCCAAGGTCAACATGGTAGAGGAAATGGTCCCAAAAAGCTACTAAACAAAACTCTTGATGTTTTGAGCCCATGGAGGTCATTCACTCATTAAAGAGCATGACAGTTTCTCAATGAATTTTAAAATGCTTTTAAATCTAATTGAAAACTAAAGTTTTTTATGAACCCTGAACAGTGCCAACACTCTGAACACACACAAAAAAGGACAGGATCCACTGAAGACCCCAAATCCTCACAAGGAGTATTTTCTTGTTCCAGAAGAAAACTGCTCCCTCCCCCATCTAAACATTGTCTTGCCTTTTATTTCTATCCCAATACCTACAAGTTTCTGAAAATACCTTTTTTTTCAGCAATGAAAGGTGAACAGTTTTATCCTCAGAGAGAGGACTCCTACATAATCAGAATTTGATCTGCACAAATCTCATTTACTGGTTGTTTCTGAAACCTGCAGTTCTATTCACAGATAGAGGATCTCTTGGTATTTCTGTTCTGCCTTCACCACTTTTATAGTACTTCAAAGATATATCAAAGCGTGGACTACACTACAGCCATTAACAGCACTATAGGAAGAAAAAAGCGCAAGTGCCTTAGCGTGATGGGGCTGCCACTATCCTGGCTGAAAAACACAACTTGAATTGTGAAGGTGATTAACTAGTGACGGAGTGCATTCTCCATCAGATAGACTTTTCAGTGTGTGGGCAGCACTGACCCAAGGAGAGCTTACTGCTGTCATGAAGGAATCACTAAGGTGCAGTTCGTCTGTTATATAGAAGAGCTTACAGACTACCTGCCTTTTAACACCCTTGAATACTTGTGTGACTGCTTGAACAAAGTGACCCTGCCATTCTCTGATGCAGTCCCATGACATGACATCAACAAACATCCCTTTCATACTCATAAACAAGATGGAAAGGAAAAAGTCCAAGTATCCTAGCACGATGGGGGTGCCGCTGTCCCGCCTGCTGGCCTGTGCAGAAGGACATGCCTCTGAAATACTGAGACACGGCGCGCCGTACGGGGGGCAGACGCAGCCGGTGGCGGGGTCACCGTCCGCACCGCCCTGTCCCCATGGGGGGACCCGAACACGGAGGGACACGTTCCTCCCGCGGTGCCGCGGCACCCGGAACCCGTGGCGACGCACCGCGGCGGTTTGACGTCAGGCCGGGCTGGCGCTGCCCGCTGGCGCATCGGTCGGGCGGCGGGCGCGGGGCCGGCAGTGGCAGAAGCAGCGGCAGGTGGGGGCGGCGGCCTGGCACCGCGCGGGCTCGGCGGCGGGGTACGGTGGGTCACACCGGGCTGAGCGGAGGCCCGGCCTGGCCTGGCCTGGCCTGACGCGGAGGTCAGCGGGGCCGCGGAGCAGGCCGGGCCGTCGCGGTCGGCGGGCCCGCAGCAGCCGGGGCGGGAGGGGGCTCCCCGGGAGCGCTGTCGGGCTGTCCGCTGTCGGCCGGGCTGCCGGGAGCGAGGAGCGGGGAACGGAGGTTTCGGGCAGGGCTCGGCGGCCTCTCGCGGGGAGCCGGCCGCGCCCAGCCCGGGGCCTGGCGGCGGGTGACGGGCAGGGAGAGTCCGAGCGCCCGGGAGGAAGGCCAGGGCAGTGACGCTGCCGTTTGCCGGGGCCAGGCAGAGCCGGCGGGTCCGGGGGGCAGGGAGCGGGTCCGGGACCTGCACGGCGCCCGGGGATTCCGGTGGAGCTGTCCCCGGCGGGACGAGGAAGAGGAGGGACGGTGCTTCTCCAAACCGGCCGTTCCGAACACCGACTCGCTCACGCGTGGACAAGTTCTGCACTGAGAGCCACATCTCTCGGTAGAACTAGTCATTGGCTAGTTAAGACAGCGTCATGGAAAAAAGGCCTGCACAGAGCTAGCTGCAGAGTCAGAAAGTTCCAAAAATAGAAAACTTGTGTTGTTTTTAAGGGGGAGAAAGGGCAAATAGGGTTACATCTGAACACTCCTCCGAGCCCAAAATCTCGGGAATGAAGTAACAGTGAGGTGTCAGCAGGCACAGCTGGTCGCCTGGAACTCGGCTCCGTGGTTAAACATCTTCCACCTGCCTGGACCATGGAGTTGGGTCCATTGCTAGTTTGACTGCATTAATCAAAATGGCTGTGGTAATTGCAAGCTGCAGGTAGAAACACTTGATTTGTTTTGAGGTTTGCTCTTACTAGCAGCCAGCCGCGTTTGAGAACAAGAAGTGAACTAGAATAGATTGTTGGATATTCCCCTTATTCTATGTGACAAAGGAAAACTGCTGTTCCCGGAAGCAGGAAGGAATAGCCCTACCTACTTTGCTGCGTTTACTCTTAACCTGTGTTCAGTTTAGGGTGCTACCTCTTTTAGGTTTCAGTCATCAAGGTACTTCTATTGAGGTTGGTGATAAACTGACTTATCTTTGTTTAAATCCCATTTCCCATGTTGGTTGCACTGAGCTAGTTTAACAAATACTACTCAGTTGCAACTGATCTTTCCAAGTATCTCCTATCTCTGCAAATATTCTTTTAAACATAATGTGGGTTGACAACAGGGCTTCAAGTGAGTCTTGTGCTTAAAAAGGACCAAAGAAGAGTATCTAATTGTCTTTGCACCTCCTACTGCAGTGCTGACAGATTGTTCTGTGTGATTCCTTGCTCTCTATGCAGAGCTGAAGTTTGGGATACTAAACTCTGTGTCGGGAAGATGTTGTTGCATCTGGGATTACATGCGAGGTGCTGTACAGCAGTTTAAGCCTCTTGCTGTTGTGGCCCTAGATAGCTGCGAGCCATTCTGTAATGGGAGACTGAGTTACTCTGTAATCACAGGCAAAACTTGTCAAGAGTAATGTTTTCTTCTTCTTTCCTCCTCTTTATGTGTTTAAGTTAAATGTAACGATGCTGTGGTATAAGAGTAGGTTAAAGGCAGCAGCAAGCATTCAATGGCCTAATCTAGCACCTGCAACAGAACTGAAGTTCATGCAAGTTCTTTGTTGGCTCTTAGACTATTGAAAGGCTTCTGGAAATATACAGTGATTTCACCTTAGTGGGCAAACTAGAAGACATAGAAACACTATTGGAGAGACCCATTCCTGTGAAAATGAGGAGCAAGAAGACTATTTCCTTGTAAAGGATTATCTAGGGGGAGAAGAACATATACTGGGGTGGTGGGAGGGTGAGGCTCAGCCCCTTTGTAGTGCTTTGTTACTTTGGAAGAATAAACCAGCCTCTATTTCTGAAGCTGTCTCTCTGTAGGAAGGTGACAACAGCGTGCTTAGACCTCAGAGCAGGACTGCGTGACAGGATTAAAGCAGAGTAGGAGTTTGACACTCCCTTTCAGCGGGCTGTCAGCTAAATGTTTGTTTTCCCAGCAAGCTGGTACAAAAGCCAAGAGTAAGAGGTTTATCTTGGAGTTTAAACTTCAACTGCAGGTGGTTCTCATGGTCATACCCAACCCTGTTCTACGTGTGGCATTCCTTCAATATGAAATCCTACTGCTACAGTCTTGTGTGTTATGGTATTTGCCCAGTACTGTGAAGAACACACAGCTAAAAGTAATATCCAATAGATAGTTTATATACATCTATCAGAAAACAAATGGATGTTGCTAACTTTATATTTTACTAGAAGACAACAAAACCCTTCTCCGTCCCCTCCCCAGCTTTAGAGACATTCCTTGTCTGGGATAAGTTCCTCTGTTTATCAAATCTACTATGCCACCTGCCCCCCCCCCCCTTATGATGCTACAAGAATTATCTGAATTATCTGGCTCTCATATTGGCTTACAAGCCCCACAAATAATACCTAAAAAAGGCAGCCTTCTCAAGGGGGACTTATAATGCTTCTTGCTTTTCTTGTTCAGTTACGTGCAGATAGTTGTGGTTTTATTAATCTATTTTAGAACAACAGTCTCTACATCATTATGCTATAAAATCATCCCATTCATCTTGGAGGAAGCTAGTGATGATTTGGAAGAAATACAGGTCATAAACCTGACTGTCCTTCCTGTTTAAGATATACTATTTCAGCTTTTGTTTTGGCTGGACTTTGAGCCTATGAATTAAAAATAAAACTGAAGAGGAAGTACAGAAAAAGGGAGGTAGGGAAGAAATGAGGGTGCTTAGTAACTTGAGACTGCAGAATACAGGAAGCACATGTATGTCAAGAGAACAGTTTTGCAAGGAACTGGTGGCAAGTCAGCAAGAAGTCACTGCAGCCGTTTTCCCATGCTTCAAGAGTGATAGCTGTAAGCTTGTGCCTTTTCCAGTTAAACTTAAAAATGGTCTCTGATAGTTATGTTGGATTGCTACAATTACATTTGTTAAGACCTACCATACTAGTTGTGCCTTACTGAGTATCTTCAGCTGAGATCTGCTGTGTCTGTCTGAAATACTAGCTGGCTACACACAGCTGTAATATATGATACTATACGCTGAAGTGCCTCTTTCTAATGTATGATTGTGAAATACTGACAACTGCTTTTCTCCCCCTCATCTTCTTCTTCTGTCCACTAGATTCAGCAACAATGGCATTTGTGAAGAGTGGATGGCTGCTCCGGCAAAGTAAGTCATGGTGGGCCATTTATCTCCTTTTCTCCCCAGTGTGTCTAACATCACAGCAACTTAGTAATTCCCAGGTCTTTCTTAAATAAAGTGTCTAGCTCTATGGGTTGTTTTTTGTTCTCTTTTTTTGTTGGTTTGTTTTTTTGACCTTTAGGACACTTCATAAAAAGACCTGTCATGACAGCATTTCCATGTGACCTTTGAGGTATACCACTGGGATGCAGGATATACCATATCTGAGGTGTCTGACTGGCATTCAGCTTCAGATGCTGCTCTGTAATTAGTGCTATACAAGTGGAGACTTGGAAACTTCACCTGACACCTTAATGTCTTCAATTAGTCATGCCCTCTCCTTGTTCTTGCAGCAAGTCAGAACTAAAGCACCAGGTTATGCACTTAAACTCAGTTGTGACTCTGAATACTAGGTAAAATATGGAACCCAATTCTGTAGCGTTCTGAAGCGGGGATGTTTTAGTACAGGATTTTGCTTGGCACCTCAGAGTATCTGGGGCAGCTGTGAAGGATCTATTGCTTTTGTTAGCTCTAGGACACAAATACTTCCCAATACGTGCTCTCAGAAGTGACTGTCTGATTTTTAAGGTACTATTTTGCGGCGCTGGAAGAAGAACTGGTTTGACCTGTGGTCTGATGGCCGCTTAATATTCTATGATGATCAAAATCGCCATGATATAGAAGATAAAATCCACATGCGAATCCACTGCATCAACCTCAGAGTGGGGAATGAATGTCGAGGTAATAATGAACCCCTCAGGATTTGTGTATTTAGAGATTCTTCACAACCCCAGTGCCTTCCCAGCATACCATTTACGACACTACTGCAGAAGTAAACTTCTCCAACAAGTGTGCAACTTTCTTGTTGTTAAAGAAACCCAGCAAACACCCATTCCACTCACCTCCCGAAAAAGAAACAACCCAACCAACTATTAAATTCCCTTACAGACACCCAGGGCATGGTAGCATCACATGACAGATAAGGTTAGAGTTTGATACTTCCTTTTAAAACTCAGTGAGGACAGGGTACTATGTATGCAGGTGGCAGGCATGCACATGAGAATGGGATATTCACAGTAGACTTGTGTGTCTGATTATAACGTTACTGGAGTAATTACAGTGCTGTCTGGAGTGAGAGCCAGGACAAGAAATGGAAACCTCAGCAGATTTTCTTCAAGTATTACTAATTTCACTTCTAGCATTTGCTGGTACTCGATACTGACACAAGTGTTGGTGAGTACTTATTGCTAAGTATGAATTAGTTCTGCCATAAGACACTTAAATTTCTTAGCAATGATGTTCACAGCTACTTACTTTCAGGACTGTCTAAAGAGTAAGAACAGGTTATTTCCTTCTGTAATTTGCTCTGATGCCACGGAAGGCAGCTACAACTGGCCCTAGTTTATTTTGTCCAGCCTTTTGCATAAACTGTCTCCCTTGTAAATGTGATCATGAAATTCTGGTTATCGATATTTCATAACTCATCTCTTTTTCTGTCCCAGATTTCCAGCCTCCAGAGGGGAAGCAGAAAGATTGTTTACTGCAGATTGTTTGCCGTGATGGGAAGACAGTCAATCTCTGTGCAGAGAGTGCAGATGACTGCCTGTAAGTCTGCCAGAGAATACTGGTTTTGCTGCCTCTCCTCGTTTATCTTTTTCTCTCTCTTCCTAATAATTGTTGTGCCTTCAGATTTTCAGAGATGCATTTTAAGAAAGTTTTCAAGCAAATAAAAGCAGTCTTTCAGTGACAAAAACACAGCTGTCTTAGAAGTTATCTAACTCATGCAAATTAACTGCAAGTTAACTCACTGAAAACACTGAAGGCTGAGGAGTAAAAGAATCTTATTAATACGGTTAATGCAAGACTTGCTGAACAGATTGTGGTTTTTTTTTTCACTTTTCCCATTCTTCAAGCAGTGCATGACCCTGCATAGCTCAAGGACATCCCAGTCAGTAGTGAAAGGAAGAATACTCCATTATTGTGAACTTTCAGCTGAGCTTGGCTTTATATAGGTTGATAACTTCTATCGTTAGTGTTTGCCAAGTATGCGTGGTGCTTCAAGCATGCTCCCAGCCATATGGCATAGGAGTGTCTGTGTGAAGTGTATGTACCTTCGTTCAAACTGTAATAGCATCAAGACCCACACTCTCTAGTCAGCACAGATGCAACTTCAGGCAGGAGAAACAACATCCCTGGTTCTCATCCTATTACTTTATCCTGAGCATAGCTGCACATCACCTACCTGTTGTGCTTGCAGTGAAGACCTTCAAAACTGCATCTCTTCCTTCTCATGTTCCTCCTCATGCCTTCTCAGCTCTGCAAAGAAAGTCATTCTGTGTCAGTCTTGATGTAACATCTTTCTGCATTCATTTTAGTATTACTGGGCTTTGACGTGTGCAATGGCTTAAACTGTGTTCCTGCAGTACCTCTAGTTCCTAACCCTTTTTTTCAATAGTCCTAAAAATTAAGTAGTATTAATTTTTATCAGTGTTCCACTAAACAATGGGCTTATTTTTTCAGGGCATGGAAAATTGCTCTCCAGGATGCCAGGACAAACCCAGTAAGTGCACTGGCTAGACTTTATACAGACAGAGAAGCAACACATCGGTGTTACATGTGGTTCAGCAGTTTACTTCTAAAATCATGTTTCATCCCTCTCTGCTACAGAAAAACAGGGTCATGAGCAGATGGCTTGTGGGTAGGGAGAATGATCTGGGTCACTAGTACATGTTATCCTTGCAGCCAAGCCTAGGCACATACATGCTGGGTGGAAGTCAATGACTTCAGAGAATGATCTGTGTGTGGAAGTGAATGTTTGGGAAGCTGGCCTGTAAGGGTAGTAGCGCAGAAGCTGTGGGCAAGAAGTAAATCTGCAACCACTAAAAATTCACTTTCCACTCTTAGCATTTGCTGCCTACATGTACAGTGCTAAAGGAAGCTTACTGCAAAGAAGCTGTTTGTTAAATGTAGATCCATTACATTGTGGGATGCTTCTTGATGGAGAGTAGGGGAGCATGAGGTGCTTGGAGGGGAGCGCAGGCACACTGAGGAGTATATTACCTTTGCACTGGCATACTAACTGCGGAGAGTGAAGAGGTCAGTTATCATAAAATTCTCCCTGTGAGTCCTGGAGTTCTCTAGAGAACTCTGTCTTTGGGGAACCATATCCATCCATTTGTGGGTATTGTTTTTTTCCTCCAGACTGCCTTCTCAAGTAGTCTTCAGCACTAGCTTTCCCTATATGGCTAGACTAAACCAACCTAAGATATTCCTGTTTCATGGGGAAATGCTGGCTTTTAAAGAAGTTTGTATCAGCTTTTGATGGGTCACATTCACATTGGCACTGTACTGAGGCATCTGTCTTATACTAAGATCTGTAGATACACAAAACAAATGCTTGTCATAGTTTTGACTGCCCTGGACAGAAGTGCCTCTGACCGCAGCTGTGCCATGCTGCTTCATGGTGTTAAATGAGAAGTGAAGGAATTGTCTTCATGCAGGGAACACAACACTCGTCATCTGTCTGCTATAGCTTTGGGGGTTGTATCTTGCTTATGTGGGAGATGGTGACTCCTGGTTTTAGGAGATAGGAACTGCTGGTTTTCATGTCTTTTGACACTTGGCTGCCAGCCCTGATAGGATGGCATTCAAAACTTGCCGGTGCATCACCTTTGTCAGCTAAGGCAGATGCTTGCTGTTGAAAGTAGAGCAGGTAGCTCTCTGCACAAGTGGTATCATAAACTGGCACTTTCCAAAGCAATTACAGATTTCCAACAAGGACTTGAAGTAATCAGGTAACTGGGTTTGAGTCCATCTGTAGGTATCTGACACAGCTTTCAAAAATACCGAGTGTCCAGCGGTGCCTTTACTGGGATACGAGGGTGAGCACCCCAGCTTTGAGAACTATGTCATTTATAGATGTTTGCAGACTGGTGTCACATGCCTGTACAGAGTTCCCTGTAGCAGAACAGAATACAGATGTACTGCTGGACACTTTCTCAGGTCGTGGAAATACCTGCCTCTTCAAATAGTGATTTCAAGCGTGTTTCAAGCAATCCTTAGAATCTCCAGTGTAAGATTGACCTGGGATATAGACATACTATGCCTTCAAAATTCTTTCTAAAGTCCAGGTGCAAGAGACAATAGGAAAATTCACTCGTATATGAAAAAAAGAGACCTGTGTTTTTTTCTTGGAATAGGGCACTAAGAGTATCACTGTGTATTTCTGATAACTATGTGCAAGAATACAAGGTTACTGTAACCAACCTTAACTCTCTTTGAGAGTAAGTTATCACCTTTGCCTGATAGCTTCCTTCAAAAAGGACCAGAATTATAGGTGGCATTTGCAATGTAGTTCCCTAAAACCAGTCAAGTCCCCCAGTTCTTACAGTTAAACCTCTCTTACTGTATTTTTTTTTAGCCTTCTCACAGCCAGGACGACAGGTGGCCAAGAACTGTGACTGTGTTCTGCTATAATGATCAGGGGCCACTTCTGGCTACTGCATTTGTGTTCTTATCTGCTCTTGCAGAACTTGATGATACCACTCTAGAGCACTGGGAAGCAGCTAGCTTACTTGTGAAAACTTGTTTATCTGAAAACAGAGGATGAACAAGAGGGTAATTTCTGAAACTGAGGCTATGAAATGATGGAAGGAGTTGGTGTGCTTGTATGTACATGTGTGCACACAGAGGTAAGAGATTTTATGACTCCTTCCTGCGATTGATGTGGCATTTGTATTCTCCCAGGTCTGCTCTCCAAATAAGTTTCTTTTTGAAGTGCTTTATAAGATATTCATAGTACGTCTGAAGGTTACTCCTTTGGGGTCATTCAGTTTTAATCCTTGCGCTGCTCTAACTGGGTGTCTGTAGAAAAAGGTGATAACTGCTACCTTTCCATGGTGTTTAGGGCTACATGGGATCTGATGTGATGTATGATGAGACAGCCATTTCCTCAGCCCCTCCTCCCTACACAGCTTATGCCACACCATCACCTGAGGTAAGAGTTTCAGTCAGGAAGCATTAAGCATTTAGTCCTTCAAGCACTCAAACTGTACTCCTGGATATAACTGTGAGTTCCACAGTTGCATCCAGCTTTGAGGTTTGTACAAAAGGAGAGAGAGTGAGGCACTAACAATCTATTGTCACTCCTGTTTGAGATGGATTTCCCTTGAACGGGATGAGGCAGATTTGATTGGGAGGTATATAAAGGATGGCTGCTCGGAGAACTTGGAAGATATAGCTTCCTAGAGACAGGGCATAAGTTATTTAGCTGATCTTGAAAGATACTGGCTGTGCAGCTTTTAACATAAGGAGGTGGGACTACGCTTTCACATTGTGTAAGAACTGGAAGGATACAAAATGAGGAGTTTCAAAAATAGATTTAATGACTGGAGCTGTCACATTTAATACATAAGGATTCTGTTGTATCCAAGATGTCACAGCAACACAAAAACTAGCTCCTGGATGCACCGTTCTTTTGCAGTGGAGAAGGAGCAGCACTGGGGCTGAACCTATATACATTGTGCATTTCTGGATATTCTGACTGATGTGCAGTGAAACACAAAGGGATAGTTGGGGTAACATTACTTGTTGCATTACAGTTGTACTGCTCCAGCCCCTCGCTGTTAGAAACAGCTGTTAAGAACTTGATGTGGTGCTGGGAGCTGTATCAGGGCTAGTAGTGGGCCTCCTCTTTTGGAGGACAAAATTGCTTCCAAAATATACAGCTACAGAGTATTTGTCCCAGATCTGACATTCACTTGCATTGTGAAAGGGACAGGTTGGTTGGAGTTTCTTGGGATCCTGCCTACCTCACAGCCCTCCAGAGAGCTCTTACTGGCATGAGGGCAGAGAGGAGAAGCTGGTAAGGCTGCTGTGGCTCTGCCTGATGATCCAGAACCTGCCTCTGCCATTCAGCATCCAGGAAGGGAAGAGAGTGAGTGCTGCTAAGGAGCACTTATTTTTTCAAGCAGCTGTTCTGAATCCTTTCCAGGGAGTAGATAGATTATATCAGTATACACTGGGTATTTTATTTGAAGCTTGACTGCATTAAAAGTGAGAATTGAACAAAGTGTGTAATTGGGTACAAAGCAAAGAATATTGTTGTAATGGACATTTTTAATTTCACCAGGTTTATGGCTATGGCTATGATCAGTACAGTGGTGCGTATGCACCTCCTGGTCCTCAAGTCTTCTATGCCTCCAATGGACAAGCTTATGCTGTTCCCTACCAGTATCCATACCAAGGTAATCAATATCAACCATACCTTTTACCTTTCTGAGCTATTTGAGTTAATATTTCTGTCTTGAATTCTGTTAATCACCATCCTTTACCACCCACCACTCCTGCACAACAGTGATGTAAAGAAAACTGACATGTAGCTAGAACCAACACCCCTTACCCTTTCACAGCAAAGCAAGTGCAGTGAAATTTGTATTAAGCGATTTAACTTAGTACAAGTGATTTAACGTCCCAGTGTGATCCCAGCGTAAGTTACCATCCCATTGTGATCCCAACTTAAGTTACTTCGTAAACTCTTAGAAGCACACAGAACTCTCAACTACAGTACGCAGCATGTTTTCTAAGATAAAAGAGCCAGAACAAGATTGATTCATTACTCCATATTGGGCATTGATGGAGATTTTCATTCATTTGTCCTCTTACACCTAGCTTAATTATTTCAAAACTAATGTTCAGCTATGGCCTCAGAATTTAAGCGCAAGTTTCAAAGGTAAATCCACTTCCAAAGCATGGTTGTAACTGGTTCCTTCCCCACATGCTGGCATCATCAGTGGAAGGAAGAAGGTGAAATAGCGGGCCTGTTTTGAAATTACAGCACATGGTATTAAGATAGACTTTGCCCTCTTCCTAACAATCTCCTATCACCTAGGACCTTATGGGCAGCCCCCTGCAAACCATGTCATCATTCGAGAGCGTTACCGTGACACCGATGGAGATCTTGCACTGGGCATGCTTGCTGGAGCAGCAACTGGAATGGCTCTGGGATCATTATTCTGGGTCTTCTAGATTACCTGTTCCTTATCTTTGTAGTTCCAGAACCCTTTATTGTGTGCAATAATATATTGGCAGTGTTGTTTACTGTTAAACTTTAAGAAATGCAATAGTTATTTTTCAGTAGTGACATCTTAATAACTGATTCTTAACTGTCTTGAGAGTTTAAAGGCACCATTTAGTTAAGTGGTTGGAGTTGGCATGTGCTGCTCTTGAATTCTGTTTATGATGGAGTTACAAGGATTTGTACTGATAAGAATCAATATGAGCACCAATGTAACATGGTAGCAGTCACTAGCTTTATGAACAGACTGTTACTGTAAGCACGGCAGAAAAAACGTGATGGGGGGGAGGGAGGAATCTAAAATCTGGTCCAAATAGGAGGTTTAAAGGAACCCCGTATTAGTGTATATGTACTACTGGCTCTAAACATTCCCTGGACAAACACACAGCTCAGCAGAAACTCCTTGGCATTAGGTACCCTACCATGCTTGAGAGGATTTTTGTTATCAAACTTGCCTGCGGATGGTAATATATTTTCTTAGCTGGAGTCGTGTATTTGTGTCTCACCTTATCCAGGTGAGGCTGTTTTTGAGAACGTGTAAGCTAATCACTAAGAAGCGGCAGCACTCCTCAGTTCTTTTATTCTCCCAAAAATGTGAATGCCCAGTAGCAATGAAGACCAGTGTTTGTTCTTTCATCTCCCTCTTTATCCTGAATCACTCTTCTCTGGTCAGATGGAAGTAATGGATCTCTGGTTTTGAAAGTGGTCTTCCTTGTCTGTAGAACAGTCACCTCAGACACTGTACCAACTGCACTGCTAAGAAAGAGATCACTGTCCAGTGTACTGCTATTGTTCTGCAGTCTGCAGGAGAACTATCTTGAACAACCCTTGCCCTCTTGGGCCTATCAGAACCCCTTTGCAGGCAGTAATAGTCAGGAGGGGAGAGTCAAACAGCACAAGCAGACCTTGCACACAGGCACTTTGATATCAGCTGCCTTGCCGAGGCTAGAATACGTCTGCATCTTAGCCTCCAAGGTTTACCAAACCAGGTTCATTATCTGCAGCTAGTTTTGAGCACAGCTGACCCTGGGTTTGTTCTATGCACACTCTCCCCTCACATTCAGCAGGTCTTGTCTTCCCCTCCGTAACTTGTTAAGGAAAACACTCCAAGGAACCTGGCTGGCTTTGCTTGTTTGACTGGTTCCTTACACAATGTGCTCCTGCAAGCTGCTGTGCTATGGAGTGTAACCTGGAGTGCAACTGTTATGTATGCTATGTGGCCTATTACCTGATCCTATTATAATCCATGCTGAGCTGCGCTTGGCAGGGAAAAGAAAACTCTGAAGAAATGCATGTGCTTTCTTATTCAGGTAAAAGAGGCAGGGTGCCTAAATGAGCCGTTTATAGTAAGAGGACTTATTTTTATACTTCCACTTTCAGCTTCTTGTATTAATACTTGTTTAATATGTTAAGTCTTTCTTACGCTTTCAGAAGTTGGTTAATTTCCTTAAGGTTCATGGAGTTTCAGGTATGTCAGGAAAGCTGAAAATAGATAAGAACTTTCACCCATATAAATTTAGATCAAGCCCCAAGCTTTTCCATTTCATCCAAAAGCTGTCTTGGGTCTATCCTACTATTAAAGCAATAGAGGTCTTCAACAAGAGTTTGGGTAGCAGCCAGGGGAAGCACTAAGCTTTCATGACTCTTAGGACAAACTCAACAAACTGAAATCATCGGAAGTAAACAGACAGATGTAATCTTGGCTGCATTACTAAGAGTGAGCCTAAACCAAGGAATGTAAATGTCTTACAAGAAACTGGCTCAGAGCTGTACACTAATACGCATGCATGTCCTTTCCCTGATTAATACAAGCTGCATATGTTCTGCCAGTGGTATGTACTGAAAGCACTTGGAGGTTCAAAAGAGGACCAAAGTGAAAGTTTCCTATTGCTAGTCCAAACCACAAGAAATTGGAGTACACTACTGAAGTTTTCTGAGAGGTCTGGTACCCTGGAGGTCAGAAAGAGACTGTGACTGTCTGGAACTTAAGTGAACAAACATTTCAACCCTTTTTAAACCTTGAGATAACCCTGAAGCTGATTACAGGTCTATACTGCTGTTTAGTTTGCGCTTTGCAATGTAACTAGTTCTGCAGAATGCCTTCATGTCCTCTTGTTCCTCTGTGATATTTAGCTTGTAAGGGGAGGGAGAGAGAATAAAACAATTGAACAACATTGTGATTTCTTTTGAGTTTCATAGTAATTGTGAAAGAATAGATCAAAGTGAATCAGCTGGTCATTTATTTTAAGCTCAGAGTTTTATTGTGTGCATTTATAGGGTTTGGTTTTGTTTTTTTGTTTCTTGAACAGCTGTTGATCACAGCAGGGGAACATTGAGTCTCTTGCTCTCTCATGAGCTAACTGCATGTAGATCCTTAGTTTCTTCCAGTGAAATATATAAGACTCTATTGATTGCAAAACATTCCTGTGTTGAATTCAAAGCAAGAATTGATCTTTTTAAAAATTCAAATTGAAGTAAATCTCCATTAAAAATATAACCTTACCTCTTCTCCAGGGGAAAAAGGTAACAAATTGAAGCTGAAGGTTCTAGTTCCATCTTAGTAACAATAGGTTGCTTTTCTACAGAAATTATGAGCTACTGTTCTATCTTGCTAGTACCGACATTTAGAAGCTAGAAAGCAAGTATACAAAACTCTGTTAGAGCATATAATCAAGAGAGCAGTCTTACTGTGCCTGTAGCCTTTCTGATCTCACTTTAGAAATAGAAGTGGAAATGTCTTGATGCACAAAGCAGCAGCACGAGGATGGCCACTTGAATTCACTGGTTGTTAAAACTCATGGACTTGCTTCCTGAAACACGGCCATACTTTCTGTTGCTCAGGAACAGATTGGAGGTTTGGACATATGTAGAATAATGTCTGGCTAGATACGTAGTCATTACTCAGTAGCCTTTCTCTGCCTAGTCCAGAACTTTATGTATCTGCAGTTTGTATAGATGCTGGTGTGAGCTGAAGGAGCAGGGCCACAGTGGATTCTGGGGCTTGGAGGGATGGCTGTGCCAGCTTCTGCAGATGATACCGTTGTGATAGGAAGAGGCAGTGCTGCAAGATCGTTTTCAAAGAAGATTAAATGATAGTCCTAAACAGGTCTTTGTTTCTGAATGGTGCTATTCATGATGCTGTGATTCCAGTAAATACCTGCATAGCACACAAGCACATGTTTTCCTGCCTGGGGCCCAATACTTGACCTTCCTAAAGCTACGGGAGGTCTGCAGCCACTACAGTGCCACTGTTCCTTGCAGTGTACACTGTCAGTTAAAGATGACTAATACTGGTGTACAGCAGTTACAGTCTATTCAGAATTACACAGCTAATGAGTCTGTGTTCACTGTGACTGCATACTTTTGGATTCTCACTTATGGGCAGAGCCAGGCTTCCAGAGAGTGGAATACAAATGCTCAGCCTTCTAATAAATCCAACCACGTTAAAGAGGTGAACCAGCTCCCCTCCCAAATTCTTAGTTACATGTAAAAACATGTCTGTTGGCTATTTTTGCTTGAACATGGGGAGCTAGGGAGCCAGCTTTTTCTGGTGAGTGGATAAAGGCTTAGACACTAGAGAGGAGGTGGTGGGAAGTATTTATGTACAGAGCAACTGCACTGACTTTTGGACAAGACACATCTTTTCTAATGCTGAAGCACATTCTGAGCTGCGTCTAGATGGAACTGCCCTAAATATCACACAACACTGGCTTCATTTTTTTTTTTGTTCATCAGTGGAGATTCAACAGGTGATGGAACAATCTAAGTTGAGTAACAGAGAAGATTCACATCCATCTTCCTCAGATGCGTTTGTGGCTTTTCCTCATGTTATGACTAAGATCTGTGTAAGTCATGGAGAATAGCATACAGCAAATGTTGTCCCTGCCCCAATCCTTTTAAGTTCTTGTGCACTCTTATCTTAATTGTTGTTTTTACTACATGTCCTTATTCCCATTATTAATTTATAGCAAAATATCCTTAGCAATAAAATTCTTAAATTTAAGTGTAATTGTTTTGACATGTTTACCAGCCTTTGTTCAGCATTTCTCACTTAGTTAATCTGTAGATGGGTGTGTGTTTTCAAACATGTAGTCAGCTTACAGGAGGATTCCTTTGCAAGAGAACAGTGCCATGATGAATTCTGTGCACCTCCAGTCTTTCCTAAGCAACTACAAGGGTGACTTCAGTTGGTAGACAAATGAACTAAGACAACTGCCACTGCTGGGAGTTACAGCTCAGGCTGACATCCTTCAGTCATCTCAGTTACCATTTATTAAAGATGATGTTACGTCTGTGAAATTAGCAAAGTAACTCTGCACTAACAGCACTACAGCAAGATAAGAATTAAGGCCTATTTCTTTTTTAACGGAGTTGAAGGCTTTGATTCAGAAATGCTTAATCTTGGATATATGCAACTCTGATCCAGATTTACCATTAGACACTGTGTTATCAAATCAACAGACTTGTACTGCTCAGTATTTCAGTAAGCAGCTTGGAGCACAGATGTTGCTCTGGGCAAAATGCTGCTGGTTGCTGTATGGTATTTCCCATTTATGAACTGCTTCAGTGGAGCTGGGTACAATCAGTAAGTTTGCTTAGACAAAGACACTAAATGACCATAAGGAGCTCCGTCACCTAAAGGTGGACTATCTCGTACATTTGCTGGGAATTAAGGTATTTGTCAGAAGGACCACAGGACATTTTGTAAACCATTATCCTTGCTTTATGCACATTTTGTTTTACTGTTGAGGGGTGGTGGTTTTTTTTAGCCACTAATCTGGGGAAGGGATGAAAACAAAACTGCTATTTCAACCTATCAGTTAATGTACGAGTACATGTTGCTCTTCTCCCCAGCATGCTATGTTTGTGATGCTTATTTTATCAGTCATCTCTTCCATATGATGGACTTACTAGGCCAAGCAGACCATTATGTACTCTTAAGCCTGCCCACCAGAGAGCTCACCTTCAGTGAAATTTCTGCATCACAATTCAGGGAACTAAACTTGCTGTGCAAGACTTAGCAGTTCCCTACCTTCCTGGACTGCTGTGCTCCTGAACTGGCAATAGCTTACAGAATAAGCTTTGCCTCTGTAACTCCTTTCACTTCCACTACTTCATTCCCTGTCCTATTTTTGGTCACTAAATGCAAGCACAGTAATTAATTTGGGTTGTATTCCTAAAAGTACTTTTATTTTTCCTTCTCTGCTGTTGCAGTTCCACTACGATGTGTTGAAGTGGATGTGGAGCATTTCCTGTTCCCTCCATTTCAGTGCAGCTGAAGGTCCCATACCCTGCCACACTCCCCCTGTATGTTGTAAGCACTTACTAACTACAAATGAGAGCTTTTAATAACAGACTGACACTAATGCACTCGTTTGGGAGTCCTCTGATTACCACTTTATCTTACTAGGTATCAAAGGGTTAGTAGGGTTATCTCATTAGATTTCAAAGCTTTTGAAACATCTCTAAAAGACTCAACAGGACAAATAAAAAAATCAAACTGTATCTGCATTAATCACTTAAAGCTTAAGATCAATTTGATTGTGATTTTTAAGGATGTAAAACTTTAAGACTGACAATACTGGTCTTAACCTGACTGAATGCAATACTGATACTGCTTAGTTCTCTACATGGTTTAGGTACCACAGTTAAGTATGTGTTTTACCAAGTACTAAGTCTTTACATAGGGCAGGTAACATCAAGAAGAGTCACAGAATCCCAGACTGGTTTAGGTTGGAAGGGATCTTGAAGCTCACCCAGTTCCAGCCCCCTGCCACAGGCAGGGACACCTTCCACTAGAGCAGGTTGCTCCAAGTCCCGTCCACCCTGGCCTTGAACACTGCGAGGGATGGGGCAGCCACAGCTTCTCTGGGCACCCTGAGCCAGCGCCTCAGCACCCTCACAGGGAAGGGTGAGAGTGACCCAATACGATGACCGACACGAGCACCCAAAGCCCTCGGGGACAAAGAGGGGCTCACCCTGTCTGTGCTGCCCGCGGAGCTGCACCCCTCCCTGCCCCAGCAGCAAACCGGCCCGCACCGCGGGCGCTCCCGCCCGGGAAGGACGAGGCCATCTCCAGGTTATCCACGGCGGCTGCCCCAAGCGCCGGCTCCCCTCCCCTCGCCTCGCCTCGACTCGCCTCCCGCCCCTGCCGCACGGCATAACGGCTGCCCTCCTGCGCGCCCCACCGGCACAGCCCCGCCGCCGCCGCTAGATGACGCCCTGACGCCGGCGATGGCGGCGCGCGGCCAGGAGAGCCTCGGCCCACGGACCCCCTGCGGGCCCGAGGCCGCCTCCGCTCGGGAGCCGTCCCGAACGGTGCCCACCAGCACAGCGCCCTCCGCCGCTGGAACCTGCCCGCGCTGCCCCTCAGCAGCACGGAACGAGTCACAGACTGGTTTGGTTTGGAAGGGTCCCTAAAGCTCATCCGGTTCCATCCCCTGCCATGGGCACGGACACCTTCCACTAGAGCAGGTTGCTCCAAGCCCTGTCCAGCCTGGCCTTGAACACTGCCAGAGATGGGGCAGCCACAGCTTCTCTGGGCACCCTGTGCCAGGGCCTCAGCACCCTCACAGGGAAGAATTTCTGCCTAACGTCTAACCTAAATCTACCCTAGCTCTGTCAGGTTAAAGGCATCCCCCCTGTGTAAGCACAATCCTGCAGGAAAACAGCAGCATTCCCCTTCCCCATTTATAAATGAGTGTGTATCAGTGTTGTCTCAGCCCTCACAGGAGCTCTGAAGCACTCCTGCCCTGCAAGTAACAGTCTGGGATAATGATCCTATTCATTGGTATCAAAAAAACCTGCAGGTTTGCAGTTTGCAGGATTGCAATCTCTTCAAGGTAATACTTGCCAAGCCTGCTGCTGATCAAAAGCAGTTTTTCATTGGAATGCTCAGAGACATAATTGTAATGAAAGGCTATTTCCATGCCAGATTTCCCTGCTCAAATCCCTAGGTGCTTCAGCTGAAGAGCTGTTGATGACAGAGTCACAGGATTTTTCTATTACTGGAAATGAAGGGGTATTTTGGTTCTCCTCCTTGTTCTGCCAAGCTAGCAGACGAACTGGCTTTGCAACAACCAAAGTCTAACCCTTGGGCAGCTACCACACTTAGGAAACTTCAGCTCCCCAGACCGGGGTGTTGATACCATGCTGGAAAGAGACTGGCGTCAGT